AGCTCCTCCTTCCCAGCCTCATTGTTAACGTCTCCATTCATTATTATGCTGCAAATCTATACTTTGCTCACTTCTTAAATCCTCTTCCCAGTGTTACTCTGCCTTGGGCATTGGAACCTCAGGAGGAAGGCGATTTCAAAGCTGGGGGGAAGCTCTCTGTTGAAATCCTGCACTGTGACTAGCTTACCAATCCTTTTGTTGCTTTCCTCTCACTGGCTTTGGGGCGGATCAGCATGGAGAGACTCCTAATTAGCTCTTTGGGAGAGTAAACCCAAGGAGAGTTCGGCTCAAGGAGATAAAAGCAGGTTTCGAAAAGAACAGCGGATGAAGGCCCAAAAGGTGGGGTGGGAAGGAGAGCGGTGAAAAGGAAGATCTTAACACAGCAAAGGACTTTGCATTTCAGGCTTTTTGTTAGTGAGGTTATGGTAAGATGCAAAGAATCGTGGAGTCCAGATTTTGCAATTTGGTGTCATGCAGTTTGGCCAGATGTTCAGCTCAAGCCCAGGGGTCTGGCTACTGCATTCACAATGCAGTATTCGCAACCCACCAGTCCACCATTTCAGCCTGTTTTGTATGAGAAAGCCTTGCCTAGATTTTGTCTTCTTTCGGATTTGCACCCAGAGTTCTGCCAGGTGGCTGTGCTCGGAGCAAACGGAGAAAGGTTTGACATTTTCTGCGCAAAACTCTTCTGCGATCGGCCTGCTGCTTCATCCACTTCATTATACTGTTGAGGTGACCCACCCTCTGCAAATGTGAAATTATCCTCTTAAGATAACAGGGCACTTATTAACGAGCAGCAAGCATGAATTCAAACACACCCAGGGCTGAGTCACGCATGGCACTAGTCCCCCCGCCTCCTAAGCTCGGTGGCTCTCAGCAGAATGAGCAAGCTGTCTCCATTTGGAAGTGCCGTGGTTCTGAACTGACACTGGATGAGACGGCAGTTCTGCCTGGAGGCAGGCATTTGATCTGTGATGGCTCATTCACATGTGCATCAAGTGGCGGCTTGCTGCTGTAGATAAGGAGCAGTGAACATGCATGTGTGAGCTAGTCCTTAGTGAAGGGCAGGCACTGGACTTTTTGGGATTCTGTGAGGGTGTCAGCCTTGCCTGCATTTTTTATTTTTATTTTTAAAAACATTTTTCATTTAATGTGGAGCTGGGGAACCCTTTTCAGTCTTGGGGGGGGGGCAGTTTGCATTCCCATGGGTCATATGCCCGTGATGGGCATGGCCAGAGGGGCAGTATTAGTGCATTTTGCGACTGGCACAGGTCCAGTTGTGACCATGTGGAGGTCTCTGAATGTCAGGTTGGCAACAGACACCTCCATCTGGCTGGCCCCTCCTGTTTTCTTAAGAAAGTAAGCAGAAGGGCTTATTTATTGCATTTGTATCCTACCTTTTCCTCTAAGGAGTACATGGCACCCCCCCCTCAGATAATCCTTACAACGACCCTGTGAGGTAGGTTAAGAGGCTGTGACTGGCCCAAGGTCAGCCAGTGAGCTTCCCTGGGGATTTGAGCCCCGATCTCCCAGCTCCTAGTCCGACACTCTAAGCCAGGCACCCCCAAACTCAGCCCTCCAGATGTTTTGGGACTACAACTCCCATGATCCCTAGCTAGCAGGACCAGTGGTCAGGGATGATGGGAATTGTAGTCCCAAAACATCTGGAGGACCGAGTTTGGGGGATGTCTGCTGTAAGCGCTATACCACTCTGGTTTCCTAAAGTCCTTCTGCTATGGGGCAGCTATATGAATTAAGTAGGTAAATAAATATGAGGAAAGCAAAATGTCACTTAGAGAAGGATCTGAAATATATTCCTTGAAGCTTGAACTTGCTTTATTCTGGATTTTATTTTGTGTTTTAATGTGCTGTAAACAGCTTTGGTATTTTTTTCTTAAAAAAATAAAGCTGTATAGAAATGAATAGCAATAATAAATTAAATTGCAAAAAAGGTGCCTAGACCAGCGTTCGAAATTAGCAGGGTGCCAGGTGCATTTTGCGCCTAAAGATTCTCTGTTTGTGAGCACCTCAAAAAGTCTGGGTGCAATTTTTTGTGCCTGGCTGACACTCAATGTGTGTGCTTTGAAGCCTCGAAGTATATGTTAATGAGAGACAATATGTTAAAGAATTTAACAATTAAGAAGAGTTTGGATTAAAGAGTAGAGTGTTTTGAAAACTGAAGTATGGCACCAATATTGCTATTGTAAACATGCTTATCAAAATAATAAATAAAGTCTTGTGTCCCCCACAATGGCGCTCATAGCCCAGGTCCCTGAAGCCATTTGGCTCCTAGCTTTTCTATCCCAGTTTCTAACCCTGGCCTAGACATTCCGTTGTGGTGACTGCAACCTAGGTTTAAGGTGCCATTCAGTGGTGATTAGCTTATATATCTTGAGTTTCTAACATTGACCAGAGGCAAAACGTGGGCAGAGCTATGAATCTTAACCTTTTGTACAGTACAGTGGTGCTTCGGGTTACAGACGCTTCAGGTTACAGACTCCGCTAACCCAGAAATAGTACCTCGGGTTAAGAATTTTGCTTCAGGATGAGAACAGAAATCGTGCGGCGGCAACGGGAGGCCCCATTAGCTAAAGTGGTACCTTAGGTTAAGAACAGTTTCAGGTTAAGAACGGACCTCCAGAACGAATTAAGTTCTTAACCTGAGGTACCACCGTAGACCACATTTCAGCCATGCAGAAGTCAAGAGTTTTCGGTACCCACACACCTGTCTCTCCATCCAGGTGAGCAAGAGTCATTATCACAGTTCAAGAGCAGGTTACAGGCAGGCAAAAGCACTCATGGAGGCTGGTGACATAGGGCTGGTGAGATGTGTGGTCTGAGAAGAGGCATGTAGCCTAGGCAGAGTCCTGAAAGCCACAGAGAGAGTTCTGGAGCTCCAGAGTTGGCCCTCCAGACCTGAGAGTTCTGCACCCCTGATTTAATGAATGAATGTGTTACGGTAAAAGAAAAGGGGGGGGGAATCAATGTAAACGGCAACGGAGCCTCTTAAAGGAGAGAGCCCAGGCAAATGGAAAAATAGGGCCCTGTGTTAAAAATGTATAGGGTTTCTTTTCCATTTTAACAGCTACGCCTTACGGACCTCACTGTGAAATAATGGTGAGATAATCAATGGCTGGAACAGTTTCTAAAAGGTCTTGCAGGAACACGAAAAAAACCTACATTTTGTTTGTATGTGTGCCCTAGGAGTCTTCAAAAGAAATAAAGGAAAGTCAAGCTAGCATGATGCGTTCCAGGTTTCTTTTCTTCTAGGAGGTAGGTTTTTTTGGGAAGCATTGTGGGGCTAAAGAGTACATCCCAAGCCTTAGGTTCACCTCCAAGAGGTGGTTTAGGTTTGCAGGATGAGTGCAAGCCACAGGTTTCGGGTTTTGTTTGAGCAGTACAGTGGTACCTCTGGTTGCTAATGGGACCCGTTCCAGAGGCCCGTTCGCAACATGAAAAGAATGCAACCCGCAGTGACACGTCTGCACACGCGCGGGTTGCGATTTGCCGCTTCTGCGCATGCGCGTGAAATCATTTTGTGCTTCTGCGCATGCGCGAGCGGTGAAACCCGGAAGTAACCCTTTCCAGTACTTCCGGGTCACCGCGTGACGTAACCTGAAAGAACGTAATATGAAGCAGGTGTAACATGAGGTATGACTTTATTATAAAACCACCGAGAGGAGATAGAATAATGGAATTTGATATAGAGTCTGAAGGATATGATTCGGTGGCCATCTGTCACGGATGCTTTAGTTGAGATTCCTGCATTTCAGGGGGCTGGACTAGATGCCCCTGGGGGGTCTCTTTCAACTTTACAATTCCCTGATACTGTGATTCCTCAAGGCAGGATTGAAGGGAGCGAATTGACACATGTGAAGGGGGAGGAGGAACCACATGAGTAACATGGCTTCTCACTGCTCATTGAGATCATGGTTTGGCATTACATTTGAACTGCCCATAGGTTTCTGTAGGGCAGGTATGGGGAACCTGTGCCCCCCCCCCAGCTCTCAGCATCTTCACCATTGCCCATGCAGACTGAGGTCGATGGGAGTTGCCTGGATTCCACTTTATTACTGTTTAGGCATCAAGTTAAGACATCCCCCCCAAGCATTTTAATGATTTTCATTGAATAGAAGCTGGAAGCTTTTGATTGCTGTTTCCCTAGCTGTTTTATTTTTTGGGTTGTGCTGAATATGTTGTTTGTTTTATTGCTCTTAACTGGTTTGTTTTATATTACTGCTTTGTTTAAAATTACATTGAAAACTATGCTGGGATAAAATGTTACCTAGGGTGGTATATGAATATGTTAAATGCTTATCATAAGTCGTAAGTAGCAGTTTACAGGTACCGTACAACGGAATGAAGTGTAACAGGGATAAGCCACATCATTGACGAGAGATAATCAAATGTGACAATATTTGACAGTGATTCTTAGATACTGTGTTTACAGTGGGTCCTTCCAGTAGGATATAATTGTTGTTTTACAGATCGCACCAAGAGTTGTATCCAACAAAATTTTTTAATCCAAGCAGACCTAGTGAAATAAATGAACACAAGTGATTTTGGTTTGTTAATGTCACTAGGCCTGCTCTTAACTAAAACTTAATTGGATAAACTTTTTAAAAATAATAATAATTGAAGTAATATAAACTTGGGCGCATAGTTTCGTTATTCTCTTATTTTTATTTTTACATTTCTTACCCCACCTATCCTCCCAAGTCGCTCAAGGCGGCATACACAATTATCACGGTTCCTGTTCTTTCTCGTGACAACCCTGTGAGGTAGTCTAGGCTGAGAGGTAGTGACTGTCCCGAGGTCATCCCTCGGACTTGATGGACAAGTGGTGACTTGAACTCTGGTCTCCCAAGATCGCATCTGATGCTCTAACCAACACAGCCCACCGACTCTTTTATTACAGCAAACCACTTACTACTTATAGGCGCGTTGATGTCAAGTTAGCTCTTAACGTTTTTTGTCTGTGTGCCTCCTTCTCTCTTCAGGTCCAGCAGCAGCAACAACAGCAGCAGCAGCAGACCTCGAATAAGCGACCCAGCAACAGCACCCCCCCACCAACCCAGCTGAATAAGATCAAGTATTCAGGGGGACCCCAGATTGTAAAGAAGGAGCGGCGGCAGAGCTCCTCCCGCTTCAACTTAAGCAAAAACCGGGAACTCCAGAAGCTCCCTGCCCTTAAAGGTGAGAAGGAGTTGTAAAGGTAAAGGGACCCCTGACCATTAGGTCCGGTCGCAGACGACTCTGGGGTTGCGGCACTCATCCGGCTTTACTGTCCGAGGGAGCCGGCGTACAGCTTCCAGGTCATGCGGCCAGTATGACTAAGCGAACCAGAGCAGCGCACGGAAACGCCGTTTACCTTCCCACTGGAGCGTTACCTATTTATCTACTTGCACTTTGACGTGCTTTCGAACTGCTAGGTTGGCAGGAGCAGGGACCGAGCAACAGGAGCTCACCCCGTTGCGGGGATTCGAACTGCCGACCTTCTGATTGGCAAGCCATAGGCTCTGTGGTTTAACCCACAGAGCCACCCATGTCTCGAGAAGGAGTTGAGTCACCTTTAAAACACCGAATTGGAAGGGACCTCAGGAAATCATCTGGTCCAGCATTTTTTTAACCTTTCGTCCCCATATGTTGTTGGCTAAGCTGGCTGCAGCAGAAGTACTTACTTACTTACCTGGCGGGGGAGACACCTTGATCATGAAGGAGGTTTTCCCAGGGTGAGGCTCACCCATTGCACTAGCCGTCCAGAGTGGCTGGGGAAACCCAGCCAGATGGGCGCGGCATAAATTATTGCTATTTGTTATTTTAAGGGCCCAAGGTTGAAGAACTCTGATCTAGTCCCAGGAATCCTGCTATAGCACCACTGTCAGGGATGGGCCACCCAGTCTCTGGCTAAGAATCTCCAGCAGAGGAGAGTCCAGGTTGTAAGCAACAGTGCATTACTCAACTAGTGTTCTTGCCCATATTTGATAATTAAAACACGGGTGTTCCTACAAGGCCTTAGTTATATTTTTGGCAGCAGCTGAAAAGTAAGTGGTGGTAAACTGGTCTAGGATTAACATTATCCAGGTGGAAGATGAACACCTGGCCATTTACTTTAGCTGAAAAAGTAACAGGAAGATTGAAGGCTATGGGAGGTGTATATAAAAAAGATGGCTTTGACACAATTTGGTTTGATTCCATTACAGATCTAGTCATAATTTTAATTTCCCCATCAACCCACGGTGACCTACACCGTGACTCTTTTAAGTTAGGCTACCAGATGTCACAGTGAACTTGCTTACAACAGCAGTAGTATGGGCAGAAAGCCATTCAAATGAAATGCTTACCCAAAGAAGATAGTCCACCACGTTCCAAGACTTTCAGAACAGCCCGTACCCTTTCTGCTGTTAATCAAAATCTCCTTATGCCTACCAGGCAGCGGCTAGTTAGCCTGCATGACACCCGGGAAGGATTCTACAGGTAGAAACAGGACTGATTCAGCTGTGAGTCATGCTGGTTTAAGCAGCTGCAGTGCTGAAAGGAAAGCAACTCCTGAGTCTGGGGAAGGCATCACGCTGCATGACAATGCTAAGGAACACCACCGCAGTTATTCTCCCTTCAGGTGAGGGGAAGAGCCAGGAGATTCTGCCATCACGTTGCAGATTCAGCAGCAAGGGAGCCCAGCTCTCTTACTTGGAATCAAGTCATGGAAAGGAAGTAGCTTTGCATATTGAGAAGTCAGAGAGTGGAGAGCGTGAAGGACACAGATACTGGGTATTGGCAAACCTGGGCGTATCTGGTATATTTGTATTGCCTTCACACAGTGTTAGAAACCCAGGTATAAAATCTAATTGCCAAATGGCACCTTAAACCCAGGTTATGGTTGCCACAATGGAATGTCTGGGTTCCATTATCCCCTGGTGAAGTTGATGATGATGTTTATTCGTTTCATACCTATATTGCTTTATATTTTAAAGCAGCTTGCAACACATTAAAGCATCAAATAAAACAATATAGAATGAAACAAATTCAAGCTTTAAGGAAATCTGAAGTAATCCATCTATGGAAGGTGGGTTTCCCCAAAGCATTCGACATCTTCCAGCGTGAATTGGGCAGGTTTAATTTAGCATTGCCTCTCTACTGCCCTTCTTGCTTCAAACACTTTGGGGTGCTTTCCCCCCCCCTTCCACACTGTGCAGATCTCTCTCACTACATTCCAGGACATTGCGCTACGTTACAAATGGTGTGTCATGGGATTGCACTTCATGGAAGGATCACAAGTTCGTGTACCCAAAATATTTAGAGGAATTAAAAGACCTGAATTAGATACTCTGCTGCACCTCAAATGTAATAAAAGAAAGCTTTGATTCCTTGGTTAAGTGGAGGAAGGATTTGAAGGAGATGGAAGGAGGGAAGACTGCTCAAGGCACAGGGAGTGGAATGGGAAAGACGGCCCCTTGGCTGGTTGCTGTTGAAAACAGTATTTGAGATTACGGTAGATAAATCTTTTGGTCTGACCCAACAGAACACTTCTTATGTTAGTGGAAAAAATGTGTGTGTGTGTGTGTGTGTAGAAATATCCAAAGTACTTCACGCATGTTACCTCTGTAGTTGTTACAACAGCCTTGCGAGGTAGGTCATTGTCATCGTAATACCATATTACAGGATTGGGAGAGGCTGGGGTTGAGAGAGAGAGAGGGAGGGAGGGAGCAGGTTGCTTGAGGTCCTACAGTGGTTCATAGCAAAGGTGCATTGAAAACTTGGACCTGCTGCTCATTATTTCACTTACTCCAGTCTCTCTCAGTGAGCATGTGCAGAGCAGAAGGAACATAAAGGAATGCGAAGAGAGGCAAGAGAAAGGATAGCAATCCATCCCATTTTGATGTCAGGTGCTCCAAGTACTTCTTCACACACAGCACGGTGTGGAAGCCGCTCCTGCAGGATTAGACAAATTAATGGAGGGTACGGCTATCAGCAGGGACGCGGGTGGCGCTGTGGGTTAAACCACAGCGCCTAGGACTTGCCGATCAGAAGGTCGGCGGTTCGAATCCCCGCGACGGGGTGAGCTACCGTTGCTCGGTCCCTGCTCCTGCCCACCTAGCAGTTCGAAAGCACGTCAAAGTGCAAGTAGATAATTAGGTACCGCTCTGGTGGGAAGGTAAACGGCGTTTCCGTGCGCTGCTCTGGTTCTCCAGAAGCAGCTTAGTCATGCTGGCCACATGACCCGGAAGCTGTATGCCGGCTCCCTTGGCCAATAAAGCGAGATGAGCGCCACAACCCCAGAGTCGGTCACAACTGGACCTAATAGTCAGGGGTCCCTTTACCCTTTACCTTTAAGGCTATCAGCAACTACTAGCCACAATGACTATTGTTCCATCTCCACAGTTGAAGCCAGTGTACCTTAGAATGCCAGTTTCTAGCAATCACCAATGAGGGCACTGCTTTTGCACTCGGGTCCCGCTTGTGGGTTTCATGTAAGTATCCGATTGGCTACCGTGAGAATAGGATGCTGGAGTAGGCGGGTCTTTTGCCATCTGCCAGGCTCTTCCTTGGTCCTTAGGCTCAGCTGATGAGCTGCAGTGGAAGAAGAGGACTCCCCTTTTTTGTCCTCTCTCTCCTCAGATGCACCTCCTCACGAACGGGAAGAGCTCTTCATACAGAAGCTGCGGCAATGCTGCGTCCTCTTCGACTTTGTCTCTGACCCACTCAGTGACTTGAAGTTCAAAGAGGTGAAGCGAGCGGGCCTCAACGAGATGGTGGAATACATCACACACAACCGGGATGTTGTCACAGAGGCCATTTACCCCGAAGCTGTTATCATGGTAAGGGCCGAGCTTATGGCTGGGTGGTGCTTCGGGCGGCGACATCTCTTAAACACTCCAAAGTCAAGAAATGTGTGTTCTGTACTTCCAGGTTGAAAGGGGTTAATAGTGTGAGAGGTTGTGGGTACCAAAATGTGCACGGGATGCAGAGTGGGATTCTGTACAAAGCTCGTCATTTTGATGGGTGTTATACAAAATTTGTTGGGTGCGTGGCCCTCCTAATAAAACAGCACCGCGTTAAACTTGTGATCATCATCTGAGGCCCTTCTTCTTCGTGTGCCTCCTCCATGAGAGGCCCTGAAGATGGCAACATACGAACAGGCCTTTTCTGCGGTGGCTCCCCGTTTGTGGAATGCTCTCCCCAGGGAGGCTTGCCTGGCACCTTCACTACATAGCTTTTTTTTTTTTAAGCGTTTATTAATTTTCCAACAAGAACATCTAATTAACATATCAAATCAAGTCAAATCCAATAAAACTAAAAAACTAAAATAAGAAGTCCAATTGTCTTCCAAATTGTAATCTTATTTTTGTTTACTTCCCACGGTCTGACTTCGAAGGCATTTCCCACATCATAGTCCTGCGTCTTATCTTCTTCACTGCATATCTTTAGGCACCCGGCGGAAACATTTCTCTTCTCCCAGACCTATGGCTAATTAAACAAGCTTCAGACTGCTTGAACTTTGTGGGGGGGTATTGTTTTGTTTGTTAACTATGTTATATATTGTGTTTTTTAATATTATAAATTATTTTATTATTTTTTGTTTATTAATAAACAATAACAACAATAACTTCTCAACTTTGCCAAACTTCTCAACTTCCTTATCGCATCTTCAGTTTTCAGTAAATCTCTTCCGTACGCTTCCCCCGTCGTCCAATCCTACGGGAGCAGAATTTGACCCTGAGGAAGATGAACCTACGCTAGAAGCTGCTTGGCCACACCTCCAGGTAATACTATATAAAATTTGGTTGCATCCGGACCCTATAATCATCATCTGAGTCCCTTCCCCTTGCGCTACCCTCCATGGAAGGTCAGAGCATGGCAACACAAGAAATGGCCTTTCCAGTGGTGGCTCCCCTCTTGTGGAATGCTCTTCCCAGGGAGGCACACCTGGCACCATCATAAATTTACCTTGAGGTGCTAGACAAAATCCTTCTCCCCCTTCTGTCCAGGCCTTTGACTTGTAATTATATGCAGCCTCCATCAGTGGGTGGGTTGCTTTAGTCCTGTCTTTTAAAAATGTGAGCGAGTTTTAGATTTTTCAATTTTGTTTTTATGCTTGTTTTAATGTATGTGTCGCTTACTTATTATTGTGGATCTGCTTGAGTTCCATTTGTAAAAAAGGAAAAAAGTGACTAATAAATTTAATAAATAATCATAATTTAAATATTGCTTTTCGTACATGATGGAACTCCAGGCTTCTAGCAAAGTTCCTAGTCGGTCTCCTAGGCAGGACAGATTAGAGCCACTCACCTCTGCCCTCAGCACAGTTACTGCATCATATTCATTTACACCCTGCCCTTTACTTGGTCTCTTTCTCGGGTCGATGGAGAACCAGTGACTAGCTTATATGTGAAATGAGCAGCTACTTGGCATAAGCTCCTAGGAGCTGAAAGAGGGAACAGGAGAGAGCATGCTGATTTTTCCCCAGACAGAGGAGTTTGGATTTGATATCCCGCTTTATCACTACCCGAAGGAGTCTCAAAGCAGCTAACATTCTCCTTTCCCTTCCTCCCCCACAACAAACACTCTGTGAGGTGAGTGGGGCTGAGAGACTTCAGAGAAGTGTGACTAGCCCAAGGTCACCCAGCAGCTGCGTGTGGAGGAGCAGGGAATTGAACCCGGTTCACCAGATTACGAGTCCACTGCTCTTAACCACTACACCACACTGGCTCTTAAGTTCAAAGTGGTTTTCCTCCACCAGCCATTGCTGTTTAAACATTTTGTGGCTAGGAGGTGGGGCCCATGGAGGTTGCTGCCTCTGAGATGTCCTGGTCACCTTGGCTTTTGCTAGGGCTGTAGCTCAGTGCTGGAGCAATGTTTTGCATGCAAAATGTCCCAGGTGGAATCTCCAGCAGCTGCAAATAAGTCTGTGGAAGACTCTCGCCTGAAACGCTGGAGAGCAGCCGCCAGCTGGTGCTGGGCTCAATGGACCAAGGTTTAGCATAAGGCAACTTCTTCTTTTCTTTTTTTATAAATATTTTTATTGAACAAATTTAGCAAATCAAATTATAAATCAATATAACCAATTAAATCCCCCCTTTCCCCCTCCCTCCCTCCCTCTCCCACCCTCCAAAGACTTCCCTCAGCTCCCCTCTCTGATTTGTTTATACATATTATTCTCTGCATGTTGTAAAATTGTACATAGCATTGCCTTATCTGTCATATGTTCTACTAATAAATTTGTGGATGTTTATTCAAAACCTGCCAAGGAGTTCAAATCATTTTGTTGTCTTTTTAAATAGTTTGTAAAAAGTTCCCATTCTTCCTTGAAGTCACGGTTGTCTTTCTCACGTAGTTTATATGTTAACTTTGCCAACTCCGCATAGCTCATCCATTTTTCTTGCCATTGTTCTTTCGTTGGGATTTCCTCATTCTTCCATCCTTGTGCTAACAAGACCCTTGCCGCTGTTGTAGCATAAATAAATAAGTTCTTTGTTTTTCTTGGCAGGTCTTGTCCTAAAATCCCTAACAAATATGCTTCTGGTTTTTTTTACAAATGTCATTTTGAACATTTTTTTCAATTCGTTATATATCTCCCAAATTTTTTAAACTTCTCTACATTCCCACCACATATGATACAAAGTACCTTCTTTTTCTTTAATTTTCCAACATGTATTTGACCTGGTTTTGTACATTTTTGCCATTTTTACTGGTGTGATATACCATCTATACATCATTTTCATATAATTTTCTTTCAAAAGAGAACAGTCTGTAAATTTCAAGTCTACCTTCCTCAGCTTTTCCCAGTCCTCAAATTGTATATTATGTCCTATATCTTGTGCCCATTTAATCATAACTGATTTGATCTCCTCGTTTTTCTTTTCCCATTCTAACAGAATACTATATGCTTTCTTCAACAACAAGTTGATGCTGGGCTCGAAGGACCAAGGTTTAGCATACGGCAACTTCTTAAGCTCCTATGCAGTATGTTGATGAGACTAGAAACAGAATTATAGAGTTGGAAGGGACCACGAAGGTCATTTAGTCCCCCCCCCTGCAATTTTGCCCAACAACAACCCTGAGATTAATAAGAGTCTCATCTTCTACCAACTGAGCTATCCCAGGAGCACATTTGCTTCCAAATAAACCTGCATGGGTCCCACTGCTGGTCGCTTTGTATTGCTGTGGAAGGGCCTCTCCAACCAGCATAATAATGTAGGTCTTTAATCACTGAATTAGGCTCCTGCTGAGATGAATTGTCTGCATTTCTGCAGTCTTCTTTCTCAGAGGTCCTGTGACATGACTGTTCTCCCGCTGGCAGGGAAAATAAAGATAAAAGCTTCCTCTGGAGACATCATTTTGGCTCCTCTTTCCTGTGCCAATCTGCTCTCGCATCTCTCTGATATTACATACTTCCTTTCTTTTTATTTAGCTTTCGCAAGAATCTTTTCCCATTCTGTCCTGTCTCCCATTCTGTCATCTCCTTTATCATTTAGAAGGACTGTCAAGCTAAAGCCATTCAATTCTTTAAAAAAAGAAAGAAAGGAAAGCATTCCTCTTTCCATTCTGGAAATTATTTTCAGTTTCTGATACAATCTATTAACTGGCAGGCATGAGGCCACACCCAAACCCAATGGATAATCTGTTCAATTTTTATAGTTGTCAGTGGGCTTTAACTGTTCTTCAGATAGGTTTGACCAATTTTTGTGGTTTAACTGGCTGAAGGGGCACAACTTCTGCATCCCTGTATTTGCAGCAGGTACACAATACGAATAACCAGTCTTATACTTACAAATAATCCTTTTCCTGTTTTTTCCCTTCCCACTCCCTTTTTAGCTGGTTTATGAATTCTTTCTGAGGTTCCTGGAGTCCCCAGACTTCCAACCAAACATAGCCAAGAAATATATTGACCAGAAGTTTGTATTGTCAGTAAGTAACTGCAGCTTCCTCCTAACTTGGCATTTATTTCAAAGGATTTCTAAACTGCTTAATATTTAAAAATGGCATGGGGGCCGGTCAGGACAGGATAGAGAAGAGGTGGGGCCGACAGGTGACCTTGGGGAGGGAGCCAGTTGGCTGGGCAGTCTCTCCCCAGGTTGAGGGAACCTATACTAGAAGCAAAACAGTGTAATAAAAACAGAAAAATTGGTACTGGCAGGATCCAGTCTCATGGGTCAGGGGGGGGAAATGGAACAAAGAGATATGGTTGGTACCCAGTTCACTCGTTCCGTTACCACAAGGATTTATGTTTGTGCAGTGGAACTTACCTCCCCTGCACACACAGACACATGCACATACACACCTTGTGCCCTCCCCCAGAAATCTGCTCTGCAGGGTTGGGGGAGGAGATAATTCTTGCACTGACTTTAATTCTATGTTGATTTCCACTCTCAGTCCGCCATCTTTATTCAAAATGGCATCCAATTGCATCCAAGTGTAAACAAAAAAACCCTGCTGCCTGATTTCATCAACCATTGCATCAAATTTGGTTGTGATACCTTTGGAGGTGTCTAAATGCATAGCAAACAAATACTTGATTGTGGGATATATATCCACACCCACCCACCCACAAAATGTTATATTATGTGATCACCTTTTGCTATATTATCTATGTATTAACAGATACTCTTCTCCATATTCCACCATTACATGAGGTATCATATATGGCAATACTGGAGAGAGCCTTCTCTGTAGTGCCTCTGTATAAGTCATATTTGGGGTAGATCTGTTGAAATGAAGAAGCGTGACTTAACGCCCATTTGTTTCAGTGGACTTACTCTCTGAGTATGAGTTTGATCTCCTTGAGTCTGAGGGCAGAGAATCATTCCAGCTTCACGGGTTGGATCCTTATCAGAACCTGCAAGATCTGCAAAATTTGATAGTGTGGGGCAGAGCAGTCAGCTGGCATCACAAATGACATTAGGGCATTTAGTGCTTTGAAATCCCAAAGTCAAGACTTCAAAGCACTAGCAGGCAGCAAAAGAAGCCCCCTCCCCTTTTGTTCCAGCAACTCTTTCACTGTAAACAGTTGCTGAAATGAAGGGGAAAGCATGGACGAAGCACCAGTGCCCCTCCTTTGTGCCAGCAGAAGGTGGGGTGGGGAGAATCTGTTAGTGCTGGATTCGAGTCCACAAGAGAGTGATTAAATCCTCCATCTACAGCTGCTGGACCTGTTTGACAGTGAAGATCCCAGAGAGCGGGACTTTCTGAAGACTATTTTGCATAGGATTTATGGGAAATTCTTGGGCCTCCGAGCGTATATAAGGCGGCAGATCAACAACATATTTTACAGGTAAATATTGGTTACTGGCAAGATTTAATCTATTGTGAATGTTTGTGTGTGTGGAGAATTCAATCCTAATTTGAGCGGTTGCACTGCATTTCCTTGGAGTTTCATTTAGTCCTCTTAACTCCAACAATGATCAGATAAATAGATGGAAGACCTATGAGTGACCGAGAACAGGAGCAGGGAACCTGCAAACCTCCAGATGTTGTTGGATGACCCTTCCCAGCATCCTCAATCATTGGCCGTGCTGTCTGGGGAGTTTCTGATTCACAAGGCTGCAGGGAAGATTAGGTGTTATGGTACCTGATGGCAAGATCAGGGCAAGCATCTCAGGGCCCATTCCAAGCCTATCCTTCCCTATTGCTCCCATTTGCTGCACCCTGTTTGCGCCATGCTTTCCCCCAGTCGTTGGAATTCCTTGTCCAGAAACATCCAGGCCTATTTGCCTTCCCCACTTTAGAAAGCAGAACACAGCGACTAAATCTTTGCAGATGTGCTGCTTATGGCTACAGATTTCTTGCTCTCCTCCAGGGACTGAATGTGGAACATTTTGATTTTGGGGGTGGAGAGCGCTTACCAAGCCTCTGTCCTCATGGGTCATAGAATCATAGAATCATAGAATTGGAAGAGACCACAAGGGCCATCGAGTCCCTTCCCCCTGCCAAGCAGGAAACACCATCAGAGCACTCCTGACATATGGTTGTCAAGCCTCTGCTTAAAGACCTCCAAAGAAGGAGACTCCACCACACCCCTTGGCAGCAAATTCCACCGTCGAACAGCTCTGTGAAGCCAGCCTGTGTTTTCTGCTTGACACTTGCTTCTCTCTACTCAGGTTTATCTATGAGACAGAACACCATAACGGGATTGCAGAACTGCTAGAGATATTAGGGAGGTAAGGGGTACACTTTTTTCTTTATTATTCCCTCCCTGTTCTGTAGGGGGCTCCTTGGCAGGAACAATAATAATATTTTTATTATTTATATGCCGCTCATCTGATGGGGTTAACCAGCCACTCTGGGCAGCTTCCAACAAAATATTAAAAACACAATAAAACACCAGCCATTAAAAGCTTCCCTATGCAGGGCTGCCTTCGGAAGTTTTCTAAAAAGTCATATGGTTAATTATCTCCTTGACATCTGACGGGAGGGTGTTCCACAGGGTGGAAGGGACGCGGGTGGTGCTGTGGTCTAAACCGCTGAGCCTCTTGGGCATGCCGATGGGAAGGTTGCCGGTTCGAATCCCTGCAACGGGGTGAGCTCCCGTTGCTCTGTCCCAGCTCCTGCCAACCTAGCAGTTCGAAAGCACACCAGTGCAAGTACAGTGGTACCTCAGGTTACATACGCTTCAGGTTACAGACTCCGCTAACCCAGAAATAGTGCTTCAGATTAAGAACTTTGCTTCAGGATGGGAACAGAAATCCTGCTCCGGCGGCGCAGCGGCAGCAGGAGGCCCCATTAGCTAAAGTGGTGCTTCAGGTTAAGAACAGTTTCAGGTTAAGAACTGACCTCCGGAACGAATTAAGTACTTAACCCAAGGTACCACTGTAGATAAATAGGTACCGCTGCAGCAGGAAGGTAAACAGTGTTTCCATGCGCTCTGGCTCCTGTCACAGTGTTCCGTTGTGCCTGAAGCAGTTTAGGCACGTTGGTCACATGACCCGGAAAGCTGTCTGTGGACAAATGCCAGCTCCCTTGGCCTGAAAAGCGAGATGAGCACTGCAACCCCATAGTCGCCTTTGACTGGACTGAACTGTCCAGGGGTCCTTTATCTTTTTACCTTTTACCACAGTGGTAAAAGGCCAGAAGGCCCTCGGAGGTGGACCTCAGTGTCTGGGCTGGATGGTGTGGGTAGAGACACTCCTTCAGGTATACAGGGCTGAGACTGTTTAGGGCTTTAAAGGTCAGCACCAGGACTTTGAATTATGCTCGGAAATGTGCTAGAAGCCAATATGGATCCTTTTGGACCGGTGTTATATGGTCCTGGCAGCGGCTTCCAGTCTAGCTGCCGCATTCTGGATTAGCTGTAGTTTCCGAGTCACCTTCAAAGGTAGCCCCACGTAGAGCATGCTGCAATAGTCCAAGTGGGAGATAACCAGGACATGTACCACTCTGGTGAGACACAGCAGGTAGGGTTTCAGTATACCAGATGGGGCTGGTAGACAGCCACCTTGGACACAGAATTAACCTGTGCTTCTATGGACAGCTGTCAGTCCAAAATGACCCGCAGGCTGCTCACCTGGTCTTTTAGCTGCATAGCTACCCTATTCAGGACCAGGGAGTTCCCCACACCTGCCTGTCCCCCAGAGACAGTACTTCTGTCTTACCAGGATTCAACCTCAATAGGTGATTGCTAGCTAGGCCATCAAGTGAAATTTACACACACACACACATTTCTGCTTAGAGTCTTTCAAGAAAGCATGATATGAACCCTGGAGCTGGGTCCCTGGGAGCATTGCAGATGTTTCCTGCAGGATATCCTGACAGTGAGGCGCAGCAGCAAGGCGGGGGGCTGGGAACTGCTCTGTGCGCATACAAACATGCCCAGACAGTGCGAGTCTTGGATGTTTACTATTCTCTCCCTTCTCCTCAGTATAATCAATGGATTTGCTTTGCCCCTGAAGGAAGAGCACAAGATGTTCCTCATCCGGGTCTTGCTGCCGTTGCACAAAGTGAAATCTCTGAGCGTCTACCACCCCCAGGTAAGAAGCACGTTCAGTCAACGTGTGTTGTGCTCTCCATAAAATGACAGGCAGGGTTAAGACCCTAAGAGGTGCCCTGCTGGATGACGTCAAAGGCCCATCTAGTCCAGCGTCCTATTCAGTAGCAGCACTCTCTCAACTTGATTTCCCCAGCAGCTGGTATTGAGAGATTTTCTGTCTCTGAACCTGGGGTTGGCATACAGACATATCAATCATAGTGATAAACCTGTCAATTTGTAGTATTTTAAAATATATATATTTTAAAATACAATCGTATCCGGCCTTTCTTCCCACAGCGGCACGTACTTGTGGTCTTCCATACAGTTAGTGACCAAACACAGGTCTGCTTAGCTTCTGCAAGGTGGCGGACAAGTATGAATTTTATTATTTCAGTCACAGACCAGTTCCAGCCCACATACAATATCAAGGAAGTCATAAAACACGATAGGGATACATTTGAACTTGCAATTAGGTATAACAGGGACAATACAGATGTAGCAACAGTTTAAAAATATATAAATTAAAACAGAGTCACTAACGTATAACCTAAAATTATCATTTAAGGCCTTAATCATTAAGATAGCACAGTTTGTTCTCTAAGTTTTATGGCAATCACACAGAATTTGGCTACCCTTAACGTGATCTCAGGATCCTTGTCCTCTACCAGGGATTTTAGACATTGAAGTTCGGATTCATTTGGAGATTTTTGCATAGCAGGGTTAATAAATACCGAGCGTATAACCCCGTAGAAACGGCAGTGTAACAAGGCATGAGAGACGGTTTCTACCGCCATCAAGCCGCAGGGACAGACTCATTTCGTGGGTGGCGGACAAGAGGCATGGAACCTCTTGTCCGCAGGCCGTTCCCCACCCCCCAATCATGCTCATCTCTCCCATGCACCTGACATGAGGTGTGGGGCAGGTGAGGACACAGCTACAGAGGAATAATCGGGAGCTTAAAGTGAGCTGATCGTTCCTTTGCACATGGGGAGTTCCCTGAGAGTGAGGTCTCTGAAGGGGTGCTTCCATCCCAAATTTCATCTCTGCATACTGATACCAAAGGGGGCTCATTGTCAATGGTCTTCCAAGGTGGCTGCCCCCTTTCAGCTGGCAGGGTGGGGTTTAGGGGGTCTGGCTGGATCCTGTTCCCCATTCCTGCTCCAAACCATACTCTGGGACTCTAATCCCCTTCTAAGGTGCCTATTTTCAGTTGATGTACAAACATGGAAGTGGTGTGCTCTGACGACTTTCTCTTGGCGCGGAAATACAGTGGTACCTCGGGTTACATACGCTTCAGGTTACATACGCTTCAGATTACAGACTCAGCTAACCCAGAAATAGTGCTTCAGGTTAAGAACTTTGCTTCAGGATAAGAACAGAAATCATGCTCCGGCTGCATGTCCGGCTCCAGTTTCAGGTTAAGTACGGACCTCCAGAACGAATTGAGTACTTAACCCGAGATACCACTGTAAATCTCACCTTGTGTAATTGTGCGCAGGCTTGCAGCATTGGATTTGTGGGCTTGGATGCAGCTGACTTGCATCTGCGCCATCTCATCGGAAGGCTGGTTATAAATACTTTCAGATACCACACAAGTTCTGCCTGCCTCTGCCGTTTCCATAGTGCCTGGGGTTCTGACTGTACTGTGCTCTTCCTTGCAGTTGGCATACTGTGTGGTGCAGTTCTTGGAGAAAGACAGCAGCCTGACCGAACCGGTAAGTGCTCCCTCTGGGTGGGGCTGCCTTGGAAGAATATTTGGAAACTTCGTATGGAAATCTCCCACTGCTGCTGTTAGGCCCTCTCTGCACTGTATGTTTAAAGCAGCACCATACCACCTTAAGCAGTCATGACTTCTTCCCCCAAAGAATCCTGGGAACTATAGTTCGTTAAGCATGCTGAGAGATGTTAGGAGACAGTAATCTGGGAGGGGAAAAAGGCTTCTGAGACAATGGGTGGATTTAAAAGGTAAAGGGACACCTGACCATTAGGTCCAGTCGTGGACAACTCTGGGATTGCGGTGCTCATCTCGCTTTATTGGCCGAGGGAGCCGGCGTACAGCTTCCGGGTCATGTGGCCAGCATGACTAAGCCGCTTCTGGCGAACCAGAGCAGCGCACGGAAACGCCGTTTACCTTCCCGCCGGAGCGGTACCTATTTATCTACTTGCACTTTGACGTGCTTTCGAACTGCTAGGTTGGCAGGAGCCCAGGGACCAAGGAACAGGAGCTCACCCCGTCGCGGGGATTCGAACCCCCAACCTTCTGATTGGCAAGCCCTAGGCTCAAAAAAGCGATTCAGTTAAATGCGTTGTAAATGTCATACAGGGAAATCCCATTGGCGAAAGGCGGGACACCACAGCGCCATCTGGTGTCACAGTATTGTAATGCATATAAGGCATTTACAATTAAGAGTGGTTAGAGTTCTTAGGGGACCCCTATTCCCCCCACAGCACTACAATTCCCAGAATTCCCTGCCAAGAGGGATTGATTGTTAAACCACTCCTGGGATTGTAGCTCCGTCAGGGGAATAGAGGTCAGCCTATGAGCTCTCAGCACCTGTAACCAAATGACACTTTCAAAGATTCTTTAGGGGGAAACCATGACTAATGACATACGACAACGCTTTGAATGCATGGTGCACATGCGGCCTTCGGAGATTTCTGTATACTAATAGCGGACTCATTCTCTGAGTGCCTTTCCTTACCTAGCCAAAAGGAGACCACGCTTACACAAAAGAGAATCGCCAGCAGGCTTTGGGAAAACCCAGCGTTTGCTTGAGCACAGACTTTAATGGGAGAGGGAAGATAAAGGGGGGGGAGGGGAGGGAGGTGTGATGGAATGGAGTAGCCTAGAAAAGGCAGACCTTGCTGGCTGGGGCTTTGAATGGCAGCACTCTGCATTATATTGCAGATCTTGTTGGTGCCCTAGAGACGCTGCTCACTCTTTGTGGCTGGGGTGTTGTTTGGGTTTGTTTGTTTGTTTGTTTGTTTGTTTGTGGCAGGGGGTTATTTGCTATTGGTCTTTTGTATCTTCATTTTAGATCCTTGTGATTTGCGTGGAAATTGTTCAGTTCGGTTGTTCGTCTTTTAATATTTTATTTACTGTTTATGACTACTTTTTGTTACGTGTTTTTTGCATGTTGTAAGCTGCCTTGAGCGTGGTTTAAACTGGAAAACCGGCATATAAGTAAGATTATGCATCTATGTATGCAGTTAGATTCTAAGCCCATTTCAGAGTGCGGGTGATGGATCTTATTTAAACCATAAATGGACTCAGGGTACAATATCTGAGGAGGCATTCTTTTGTTCTGGAGGGTTACGAATACTGTTTAGTGACCCCGATTTGATTTTTCAAATTTTGTTTTTGATTATTTTTTGAGAGTGCTGGGTGATTTGTTTATATTTTTTTGAATCATGATTCACTTCTTTCACGTTACTGGTTTTTATTGTGTCATTTGTATGGTTGTAAATACTCTTGAGGGCTGTTCATGCAGCAGAAAAGAAAGTCCGGTGTGTATATTCTGTAAATAAGGAGTTAAGTTGGGTTTTTCAAAGTTCAAACTGCTTCTGCACTGTTGACCTATTGTACTGTGGAATTTATGACGGTGGCAAAACAATGCAAGCTTATCTCACCATCAACACGAATGGCTTAAAAGTAGTTTGCCCTCTGAACATAAAAAGCATAGGGAAGTTGACTTACACTGAACAGAGGTGTAATGGTGTGGTGTCAATGGGAGTTGGAGACATGTTACTATTTCTGCAGCGGCCATCCCTGTCACCAGCATCCTAGAGCCATCAATCAGCATGAAAGGGGAGCTTTTTAGCCACTAAGAAGAAGCCCTTTCACCCTTTTTTTGCTGATGGGAGCCAATCAGAGTGAAGAGAGGAGAGTCAGCCCCTGAATATTGACTCCTAGGGTCACTCTGGAGAAGCGCATTGGGAAGAACACCGAAGAAGATCTTTTTCTGTGTGCTCCAAAAGCTAAGCATTTAGGAACACTGAAAACACAAGGCGCTTCTGTTTCGAAAGAATGGGGTGCAAGTTCTGCAAAGCACAATAGAACTTTAAGGAAAACACAGCTAAAGTCACTATGAAAGAAGGGCACATTTTCTAGCTGAAAAGCAGCACATGGAGATCTGCACTGATTGTTGCAGTGCTTAGTATTACTATTGTATAGTTATACCATATAAGGCTGCATAAACTTAGATGAGTAGGTGGCTGTGACTCTCATGTAGGGACCCTTCAGAAAAATGTGGGGGGCTAAGTCATTCTTCATACTTCTCATTTGAATTGTGAAAGATCCATTGCGCTCCCATTAGAATTACTGCTGGTTATGATATGTGGACACAAATCAGGAAAGCTAGAATAGGCAAGCTACTCTTTGGCTGGTCTTTTTGCCATGCCTGGCAATTCACTTCCCCAAATCCCTTTGGATCCTTGTGACTTAGGACACACTGCTGTCCTTCCTGAAACTGCATTGTTGCCTTCTCTGATCTGTGGTTTGAACTTTGATTGCACTGACGTCCTGGAAAAAATCAGGCTGGGCCGCTGCAAAGTATTCTTGGCACGTTCTTTGAAAGCATAGAAGCTTAGGTAAAAAGATACTTCAGTTAGCGCTGCTGACAAGTGTAATGAGTGCAGCAGATTGTCTTTAGATTACTTGATTTGTCTGTTGTTCCAGGTTCTATGAAATTGGTGTTAAGTCATAAGTAGAGCGACTGAAATTGGGTTAGGGGAGGAGCACGTTTGTGTAACGCAGACCTTGTTTAACGTTGCAGTGATAAATATGTGACTGACTTCGCATTATTACGTTTGCTTCATGCACTATTCTGCAGCAATATTAATTTCTGGGCCAGATTAAAAATTAAGGCAGATCTTTCTTCCAAGCAGTCAAGAGGATGACTGCAAGATAAGCATTCATAGACAAGCACTGAGGGTGTAAACCAGCTGCAGAATGTTTAGGTAAACAACCACTTCCCTTTTAACTGATTTATTATTTAATCAGTTTCTGAAACCTAAAGGTTTCTAAAACCTTAATATAAGCTGCATTTTTTGAGACACTTTAAGAAAAGCGTGCAAACTTTCAGTGCAATAAGCAAAAGCTACCAGAAGAGAAGGTCATATGGAATGTTTGCCATTTCCTGTGACAGACACACACCAGAATCAAAGCATTCTTTAAACAAAACAACGTATGTCCCAAGTTCTTACTGGTTAGATTAATCTCCCTAGGATTTCTGGTTAAATTTCACTCCTTGCCTTCTCATTTATAAACAACTAAAACCATAGTTGATTCATGAAACTAATTGAAGCTTACAGGGCTGAACAGCACAGAAGCAGCTAGAGATTTCTAGCTTTGCATTGAAACCAGCATACCTCCTTATGAAATGCTCCCCTTGTTGTAGATTCCTCTTGGAATGCAGTGTAAGATGCAGGATATGCTCAGATGCAACACTAAACAATGGTTTGGAGTTATACAGATAGGCAGATAAAAAACTTGTGCCCTCCTCTCTCTTCCCCTTCTTCACCTTGTGTTGATGATTAATAACTTTCAACAGAAATCAAAAATTTCTCAAAAATCTGTATGTGCATTAATTATGTCACATTAAGTAAATCAACATTATACAGTGGTACCTCGCAAGACGAATGCCTCGCAAGACGAAAAACGCGCAAGACGAAAGAGCTTTCCGTTTTTTGAGTCGTTCCGCAAAACAAATTTCCCTATGGGCTTGCTTCGCAAGACGAAACGTCTTGCGAGTTTGTTTCCTTTTTCTTTAAGCCGTTAATAGCCGCTAAGCCGCTAATAGCCGTGCTTCGCAAGACGAAAAACTGCAAGACGAAGAGACTTGCGGAACGGATTAATTTCGTCTTGCGAGGCACCACTGTATCTTGTGCCTTTTGACTAATTAAGCACATTTTTAAAAAACAAGCTTGGAGGATAAAGGTCCTGGATAAGTTGCTATCTTTTGGCCTCAGGATTTCACTATTGGCAAAAAGAATTTCTTCCAGACTTAAAATTCTTGTTGCTATCACCAACAAATGTTCCTGCTTGTTTCTCTAACGCTCATAAAAATCTCATTTCTTCATCTGTTCAGGTGATTATGGGCTTGCTGAAGTTTTGGCCAAAAACACACAGTCCCAAGGAGGTGATGTTCCTGAATGAGCTGGAAGAAATATTAGATGTCATTGAACCCTCGGAGTTTGTGAAGGTTATGGAACCCCTGTTCAGGCAACTGGCCAAGTGTGTCTCCAGCCCACACTTCCAGGTAGGTTTGAAACTCAGCATGCTGGCAACAGCTTTAGTCTCTGTTCAAATGCAAAGTGAAACGTTGAAAGTCTGAAGCATGTTGATGCATAGGATGAGCAATTATTCAGTGAACGTTTTTATAGTTAGCACAATTGGAAAGTACACTTTCCTCATCAGTGTAGTGGCCCACTTCAGATGATCTCACTGTTTACCGTTAGGAAGTTCCCCCCCAAATTTAGCTGAAATTATTTGCACACATTCTAGTCCTGCTTTCTTGAGCAACAGATAATTAAGTTGATGCTTCCTCCTCTGCGTGGCAGTCCTTCAAATATTGGAAGGCCGTTATTATGCCTTGCCTTAATCTCCTCTTGATCCTGCTAAACACACCCAACTTTTTCAGCTATCCTTCATTGGGCTGATTGCCCTCAACTGAACGTGTTCCGGTTTGTCAATGTCCTCCTTAAAATGTGGTGTCCAGAACACACCACTGTACCCCAGATGTGGTTTGCACAGCAGATAATAGAATGAATTTGTTTCTGCTTGTGATAAGGGCACCAAGTTTCTGTTAATTCACCTTCATATTGCATTACCTGCTTCCCCCTTTAAAAGGTCTCTCTTGTTTCAGAAGTTATGTTTTGCTTTATTTGTACAGGTGGCCGAGAGGGCGTTGTACTATTGGAACAATGAATACATCATGAGCTTGATCAGTGACAATGCAGCCAAAATTCTCCCCATCATGTTCCCGGCACTCTACAAGAATTCCAAAAGTCATTGGAACAAGTAGGTCGTTTCTGTGTGCGCTGGGCATGAGTGGGAGTACAACTGAGAGAGCTCCGCCTTGCTCTTCCACCATGGCCTATTGGTGCCGCTCATTCAAAGTTTGGCAGAGGGAGAAAGAAAAGCGCTCTGATGACGATGATTGCTAGCAATATGCATGGGTGTATGGAATAGGTTGCCTCCCCTTGAGTCTGTTCTTTTTATCAGATCATTTGTAACTGGGAGTTTTATGTGGTTTGTCCACCTTTGGTCTCCACGCTGCACTCAGCTCTCACCTGTGGCTCCTAAAAGCTGTCAGCATGCAGTAATGGCCATATTCTGGGAAACGGCTTTGACTAGCCAGCTAAACCAAGTGAGGGTAGCCGTTGGGTCTCAATGTTAGAATTCCTGCTCCATGATTGCAGTCATGGGGTTGTTGTCTTTCACATGACGGTGTATGTTTTGACTCCACAGAGTGGGAAGTGACGGAGACAGGATGTTTGTGTTACTGTGTTCCATGAAGTGGGACTATTGTCCTTTGTTCTTTCTCTTTGCTGTCTGATGCTAGAGAGAGAGGGAGCCATGTTGCAGTGTTCCGTGTGTGTTTATATGTAAATAAAGTAGATTAGTCAAAATGCTGATCTGCATACACTCTGCGGATCCCTAAGTGTGCCGGTGTCTGTTGGCATCGGTCGCTGTGATTTTCGGGCAGAAGAAAGCTTTTGAAGCTCCCGAACGAATGATCAGGAGAGGGAGAACATGCCAGTCGGTCATGTGTCTCTACCAGGGTCCTACTCGAGTGTAGGATGAGCTCATGACACTCAAACCCTTGGTGAGTTAGGGATTTCCTCTGCATGCAAAGACAGGCTCCGGCGGATCGAGCGGGCGAGACAAATAGCTGGTCCAACAGTCAAGAAGGCGGTTTCTGCATGTGCTGTAGAAGGAAGTGAGAGGCGCATGGGCTCTTCAACCAGGGAAGGGAGCCCATCTAGAAGAAATACTCTTGATCCTAAACCTCCACTGCCTTATGGGATTTCTTCGGAAGAAGAAAAGGCCTTAAGGAATAAACCCTGCACAAATCTGGAGTGGAGTCCCTAGGATGATTGGATGGTGCCTTGTACGCCTCCTTCCAGCAACTCCTGAGTGGGGATTTGAACCCTGGTCTCCCAGGACCTCGTCCAGTAATCTCACCACTGTGCCACATTGGCCTCCATATACACTGCCCAGGCTTGTACCCCAGGGAGGTCACTTGGGTGCTGCTAATGCAGTGGTTTGACTTCACCCCTGGAGGCACACTCCATTGTCTCTCAACCATGACAACAATTTATAACTGGGATGGGGGATCCGTTGGACTCCAGCCCCCATCACTCCTTTTGCCATGCTGGCCGGGACTGATGAGAGTTGGGCTCCAATATCCTCTGGAGTTCTACAGGTTCCCCACCCTGACTTACAGATTTCTGTCGGTCTTCTTAGGGGTAGTGGGGGGAATAAACGGGTGTGCCCTGGCATTTGAAGCTATCCTTCCTTTTTATATCAGGTCTTGGAAGTTTACTGTCCTGGTCCATTAAATCTCTTCTGTGCAAGGGCAGTTTCCCCACCTTCTAATTCATTCTCCCCCTCTTTTTTTTTTTTTTTTAAGGACAATCCATGGTTTGATCTACAATGCACTGAAGCTGTTCATGGAGATGAACCAGAAGCTGTTTGACGACTGCACACAGCAGTACAAGGCAGAGAAGCAGAAGTGAGTACTGGTGGCTGGGGAAACTCTGCCCGCAGCTAACCCTGCGACTAGTGGGGCCATCCCACTTGACAGCAGCTACCAAGTCTAAACCACTTGAGCCTCTTGGGCTTGCCGATCAGAAGGTCGGCGGTTTGAATCCCCGCGACGGGGTGAACTCCCGTTGCTCTGTCCCAGCTCCTGTTAACCTAGCAGTTCGGAAGCATGGCAAGTAGATAAATAGATGCTGCTGTGGCAGGAAGGTAAACAGTGTTTTCGTGCACTCTGGCTTTCGTCACAGTGTTCTGTTGCACCAGAAGTGGCTTAGTCCTGCTGGCCACATGACCCGGAAAGATGTCTGTGGACAAACGCTGGCTCCCTTGGCCTGAAAAGCGAGATGAGCGCTGCAACCCCATAGTCGCCTTTGACTGGACTTAACCGTCCAGGGGGTTATTTCCCTTACCTCACTTAGAGGAATGGGCAAAGGACCCAATACTGCTGGAGAACAGTTTCCCATCATCCTTGACCATTGCCTATGTTGGCTGGGGCTGATGGGACCTGAAGCACATCACGATTGGGAGGCTGGGCTAGTTGGACGCTTAAATAATGTGTCTCTACAGAGGTTGGGAGAATGCAGGCTGTAATTCCTTTTTGGAAGTCCTCTTCATGCTGTTCTCCTAAGTCAGAGAAGGGAATACTAACAGCCTATGCTGATCTAGCCCCACTGCTTCCTGGGGAGGCATAGGGCCCTGGATTTAACCCTGGCAAGGGCATTGAGGCAGAATACCCCTCTTTGGGGAAGAGCCTCAGCTCTGGGAGGAACTGCCTGTCCCTGGGGATTGGGACTTACCTCCGAGGAGACGGGACTGGAAAAGGGAGACTTGGGACACTGAAGAAAGGACTATACTGAGGCAGCCCTCTATGAGGTCTGCAGAAAGACTCAGGGATGGCGGGAATGTGGTTCACCAGAGGTGAAAGCAGAGACAGTACAGTGGTACCTCGGGTTAAGAACTTAATTCGTTCTGGAGGTCCAGTCTTAACCTGAAGCAAAGTTCATAAGCCAAGGTACTATTTCTGGGTTAGCGGTGTCTGCAACCTGAAGTGTATGTAACCTGAGGTACCACTGTACAGTGGTACCTCGGGTTACAGACGCTTCAGGTTACAGACTCCACTAACCCAGAAATAGTACCTCGGGTTAAGAACTTTGCTTCAGGATGAGAACAGAAATCGTGTGGCGCCAGCAGCAGGAGGCCCCATTAGCTAAAGTGGTACCTCAGGTTAAGAACAGTTTCAGGTTAAGAACGGACTTCCAGAACGAATTAAGTTCTTAACCTGAGGTACCACTGTAGTGCAAATCTACCACTGAATGCCATCCCATTGTGCTCTGTCCCCATTGAGAAGGCTGAGCTGCAGTCCTGTAGATGCTCTCTTGGGAATAAGCTCCACTGAATCCAACAGGGCTTCTAAACTAAAAGCAACCAAGGAAGAGTCATGTGGCTACCTTAAATATTTCTATCCATTGTAAGGACACAAGGAGAGCCCTGCTGAATCACACCAGTGATGTATCTGGCCCAGCTTTCTGTTCTCACGCTGGCCTATGGGAAGCCTGCAAACAGGACCCATTTGTGACCCCCAGCAACCAGTTTTTGGAAGCAGAAGCTTTTCAGAGCAAGTTGAACACGCACAGGGTTGAGCCTGTTAGGTACGCTTTGCCCCCAGTAAAACTGCCAGACTTAAGAGCTTAACTGTACTTGGCATTCCCAGTCCTGCAAAACTCTTGGTTCTGTGCAAAGGAGAACTTGACCTACGAGGTACTACAAAGCCTTGGGAAGTGGAGGGGGTGGGCTCCTTGGGGTTGTGCCACAAATGAGATTAAGAAAGAGGGGAAGATCACAGATGAGGGATTTGTGCCTCCTTTATGAAAAGGGCATGAACTAAGAGGACTCTTACGCTTGGAGATAGGGGTAAATCGGGGTGACTGTGGTCCCTCAGTAATCTGAGGTGAAAGGATCAGCTGGGAAAAAACTTGTCTCTTTGAGGCGCGGCTTGAGAGATTCCTCAGCCATCTTAATTTTTTAAAAAGGAAAGAGCAGGGTAGATGTGTTTACATTTGAATCCACTTGGTAGGCAGCCTGCAGGAAGCCTCATGCAAGTTCCAGAGATAACGGAAGCCCAGTACACAGTAACTCGGAACAAGAGGAAAGCTTTCAGTGGAGCTGCCCCTGTTTTTGTGGAATAGCATTCCTGTTGAGATATAGCAGGCAGGCTGTCTGCAGTTTCCAAAACCAACTGAAAACATTTTTGTCCCATTAGCTTTCCCATCTGGATGAATGGGTCTCTGCCATGGGTGTCTACTTTTCATACACACACACACACACACACACACACACACAGACCTGCTGTTGTTTGCTGTGTTTTTAACTGCTTAGCTATTTTGATTTTTTTTGTACATTGATATGTGTGGAAGGCAGTTAATTACCTAATATATCTGTTTAATATGGAGCATTTGATTGGGTTTCGAAAAATGGCATAACTTGACCAGAGCTCTAGAGGGAGGACGCCGGTTAAATATCTAAATGAAAAAATAACACCCACCCTAAAATAAATTCCTTTTCGTCTTCAGAGGGCGGTTCAGGTTGAAGGAACGAGAAGAGATGTGGCACAAGATTGAGGAGCTGGCCCGCCAAAATCCTCAGGTAATAGTTGTTAGCAACAGAGGAAAGATGTTTTGGTAGTGTACTTTCTTAGGTTACCCAAACCACAAACTTGTTACCTTAACGATAAACTCTATGTGTTTGCTCCGGTGAATAAGCATTGAACTATGCCTAGGACAGGGAACCTGTGTCCCTCCAGATGTTGTTGCACATGCCGACGGAAATTGGAGCCCAGCAAAATCTGAAGGGCGCACCAGGTTGGCTGTCCCTGCACTAGGACCTGTGGTTTTAAATTTCTGCATGGCCCTGGTCGAGTTGCTGTTGGCTTCAGTTCCTCGTCTGTAAAATGGCAATTCTTGTCAGATGCAGAAGATAAGAGATTATAAATAACAAGACCAATGGTTCCTTTGTTGAGCACGGTAGATATGTCTCCACGAGGTATTTGCTAAAACACACAGTTTAATTCTCTCTCACTTCCTGGCAAAGTAACATCCAGGTATTTAATCAGCTCCTGTCACCTCTGTTTGCTCATTTCAAATATGGTTACTAAATGCCTGCTTCATAGCTTGGTAAGTTTTGATATCTCTAGAACAAACATGGGACCTTATACTGAGCCAGCTCTCATCCAGCTCAGTATTGTCTAGGCCAGGGGTAGTCAACCTTTTTATACCTACTGCCCACCAATGCATCTTTCTTGATGGTAAAATTTCCTTACTGCCCACCAGTTCTCGATGGAAGGAGGATTCAGCTTGTGCTGTAGAAACCCCTACCGCCCACCTAGAATCCTGAAATGCCCACTAGTGGGCAGTAGGGACCAGGTTGACAACCCTGGTCTAGGCTGACTGGAAGTAGCTCTCCAAAGTTTCAGGCCAAGAGCATTTTGCACCCCTACTTGCAAAGGTGAGTAATTCAACCTGGGACCATTGCTTTATTTATAGCATTTATATGCTGCCTTTTAGGACACAGCCCCCACAGATGCAATTGATGCCCATTTTGAATACTAAACATAAGATTCCAGAAACATAAGGAAGCACCAAATCTTGGGAATCAGTGGTGTAAAAGCACTTTGTTACGGAAAGGCAGACAAGTCACGTTTGAAGGATGATGCCGAAAGGGGCCTTCAGTAGTTCTACAGTAGTGGAGTTCCACAACTGTGAGGCCACCACCAAGAAGGCCCTTTCCCTTTTGCTCACCAGCCCAGTTGACTGTTCTTGTGAGGATTCTGTGACGGCCTCTGCCATTGATCTTAGCAAACAAGCAGGATCTTTTATTACGTAAACGACCTTTGCACGGAAAACTTGTCCGCTGCCCCCAAGCTACGACCCTTCCCTGGAGCAGTGACCTTTGGAAACAGAAGTGGTTAGCATCAAGAAAACATAATTAGGGAACAGCACAGCCTGCAGGTACTCTTCTGTGCCCTTTTGCATGTTACTCAGCAGAAGCTCCTTATATCTGCGAGTGGCTCCCTTGAAACTAGAGTAACATAAAAGAGGGCTCTTTCTTCTCACCATCAGTGAGGCCAGGCCAGGAAATACTCTGTTGCAGGGCCCTGGGAGAACCTGTGGCCCTCCAGATATTGTGGGACTCCCCACTCTCGTCATCCTTGTACGTTGTTGGCTGGGGCTGATGGGATCTGGAGTCTCGCCAGATCTGGAGGGGTCACAGGTTCCTGGCTACTGCTTTATAAGCCGTCTGTGTCAGAAGGAGTGTGATTTAGGAAAGATTCAAAGTGCTCAGTGCTCATCTGTGTGCTTCTCAGTTTTAAAGCCCTGTGGTTTTAAAAAGTGTGATGCCTTACAAATCAGGTCGGGAAGCCAAATTGATACGTCCTGCCTTAGGGAGGAATTCAGTGTCACACATTGCCTCAGAACAAGCATTTCAGCTTCCAGATGAAACAAACCTCCCCTCCTGCAGATGGACTCTTCTTGGGGTCTTGTCAAACCCCCCCCCCAAGCCAGTTTGGGGGTAGGGAGAGAGGGAAAAGGCCCTGTTGCACATCCACAAGTCCTTGTGAGGGCTTCTGCTGGCAGGACTTTGTAGTGGAATCCACCCATTTTTTCCCCTCCAACTCCCATTTTTTAGAAACAAATATGAAATTTTAAATGAAGGATTATTTTATAGCCACTGCTCTTGTAGGAAAATAGGATGCTGTCTTGCACTGAATCATGGCATTGGTCTGATCCTCATAGCGGAAGGGCTCTCCATCGCTCAGTGGTTGGAGCATCTGCTTTGCATGCAGAAGGTCCTGGGTTCAAGTCCTCTGCATTGCCAGGAATCTCTTGCTTGAAACTCTGGAGAGCTGCAGCCAGTCTGTGCAGGCAGTACGGAGCTGGCTCAGTAGAATGCATTTTGTTCCCTTGCATCCAGGATCTGTAGTAAATCTTCAGTATTAATTCCAGTAGGGCCTCATGCACCTCTGCACTTCCCCCCTTTAAGCCAAACCTTCCTGAAGATAGGAACAGCAACAAATAATAATAATAATGGTTAGCAACTCTTACCTTAATGCAAAGTGGCTGTGGTGATGTTAAAAACCAGAGTTTTCACCACTTTGGGGTCATTTAGACCCCTCAGTAACCTTGGACATGCTGAATTTTATAATCCGCTCTAATTGGAGTTTGTGACACCAATGCCATTTTGACAAAACAAAATTCAGAAAAGGGGGCGGGGGGGAGAGAAATCCCGCAGGGAAGCTGCAGGGAACCGGGAGAAAAGCTTTAACCTTTTCTAATCCCTTGTGCCATTTTCACAAGAAGGGAGAGCGTGAGCTGCAAAGGGTTTTTTTTCCCCCTCCAGTGCTTTATCACACTTAACCTACATATATATGTGTTTAAACATTCGGCGTTTCAGTACTTGAGTTGCTGAGCTTGCGTTCCCATTTTTCTATGTGCTGTGTTCTTGCAGTACCCCATGTATTGCGCCCCCCCACCCTTGCCTCCTGTTTATTGCATGGAGACGGAGACCCCCACTGCAGAGGACATACAGCTACTGAAGAAAACGATGGAAACGGAGGCTGTGCAGGTGACTCATCTCTATATCCTCCAGTGGGTCAGGAGTCCTTTTCTGTAATGTGGAAAGCTGAAGGGGTTCTTGGTGACCAGCGGAACTCCTCGCCAGCAAGCAGCCTCTTCTCCCTAATAAGAGACCTCACCACCCACCTCCAGAAGCAGGCTGTAGGCCTTCAGACTACCTTCCGCTCTTTCTCTGTGAGAGAGGGCAGTGGAGGGGAGGCTGGGCGGGGACTTCATGCCTGGCTCTCAGTTGTCTTGGGCTCATTTAGATTGGAGGGCCAGATTGGAGGGCCTTTGCACACTTGCAGCTTGCGGCAGCTGGGACTTGCATGACGTCAAACCCATCGCCAGAGTCTTGTGGCACCTTAAAGACTTAACAGATTTGTAGTGGGAGGTCTGTGGCAATTGCTGAGCTAACACCTTGTAAGGAGCCAGTCCCAAGAAGCAGTCGTGGTTTCCTTGCCAGAGGTTCCTATCTCTGCAGTTGACACCAGTCTGCTAAACGCTGTGCTTGTTTAATATAGATTTAAACACTTAATTGTCACGGACTGTGTTGTTGTTTTTTGGTCTCATTTCGATCCCACCATGCCAGTTTCCCCAACACATACCTTCCAACTAAGGTTTCGCTTTATGCAGCTGACGAAGTGAGCATGAGTAAAGCTTGTGCCGTCGCAAGTCTGTTAAGGTCCCACAAGACTCGATTGCTTTTGCTACAAGAGACCCAAGGCCTCTCTGGAAATGTTTGCATGGTGTTAGTTCACAAAGGATCCGACCATTTCTTCATTAAACCACCGCTGAAGTGCAAGCCAAACCTTGCGTCTCTCAGCAAGCGGCTGTCCCATGCCCTCAGAACTGTCTGCCATGCAAGTGTTATTTCCTGCTCATGCCCCCCACCCCAAAGTGTGTATTTTGCTTGTTTCCAATGTCCTTTCTGAAAGAAAGAAAGAAAGAAAGAAAGAAAGAAAGAAAGAAAGAAAGAAAGAAATTGAGAACTGCACAGTTGCACAAAACCAAACAGACTTGCTTAGTCATTTTTGCATGAATTGACAGACTCAGCGGAGCAGAGGGGAAGGCAGGAAGGGAGCAGCTAAACCATCCTTTGGCATCTTGTGTTGGCCAAGTCACACGCTTTCTGTTTCAGCCAGAATAATCATCCCTCCTCACAGTGTCACACCTTGAACTATGGGGGATAGTGGTGCCTACACAAAATCACAGGGCACTGCAGATCAGCCATGGCCATGTGGTCAGGGCCGCCATGATTGGGCGTCTACCAGGATCCTCCCATTAGTGATTGCTGCTTCCCTCCTGGCATACTTGCTCTGCGCCTGAAGACTGCCAGTTCCCCTGTATTCCTCGCCCCAGCCACATCAGCCTCGTTCCCCCCGCTCCCATTCTGCTTACCTTTGCTCCCTGTGCAAATCCCCACATGGAAGCATTGGGAAGAGCTTGCACATCTGTGCTCCTTTGGGACACTACAGAAGTCCCATCCATTGCCAGCCCAACATGCCCACCCCACCCCTGCCAGCCCTGTGGCTGTTAGAAGGGAATGCAACCGGGCAGAAAGTACAGCTCAATATGCAGAGCTGCGTTATGATGGCAAATGCCAGGCACAGAGTCCCGTTTTGTCCAAGTAAACATGCTTACAATCAGGTTAAATGCCTTTGCTCATACGTTAGCGAGTGGGAGCACTGGAGCGCTTATTTTCGATCCTCCATCTTCCCACTTTGTGAGACAGACCCATTAAGCAGAAAAGATAAAGAAACAGCAGGCTGTAGTTCTACCTGATGTAGAAATCTAAGATTCACCAGTTAGCCTTTATGCTTGCTTCTCAGCCTCTCTGTGTGTCTCCCATCTGCAAAATAGGATGTCTTCTAGACTGTCTTCTCCATGCTGAATTCTGTTTATGATTTGCCCGCTCTCCCTCTCTCTCTGTTGATCTGTAGCCTGTGGCTTGACTCGCTTTCTTAACTTGCCAGCTTTGTGTGCAGTTTTGTTAGTTCCTCATTCCTGACTGTGGCACTGCTGCTGTCTGCGGTGTGTGAGCTTGACATCATGCATTGCTGGAATTGCTTGGTGGGTGATGCTTTGCAAGAAAGCGCAAAGGCTGCATAGCACCGCTTGGGGAACCCTTTTCAGCCAGAGTGCCACATTCCCTTCTGGGCAGCCTCCTGGCGCCCACACGCCATCGGTGGGTGGGGCTAGAGGCAAAACTGGGCGGAGCAGTGAACGCAAATTTCACCTTCGTACAGCAGGCTAGTTTCCTCACCCGATCATATACCCACCTCTGTCCTCGCGTCTTCCAGGCAAAAACACCTAAGAGTAGGGGTCAAAGCAGGGCTGTTGAGAGGTGCAGCTTGAAGAGAGCCCCATGGGCATAGCTGTCAACTTTCAGATTTGAAAATAAGAGATCAGCAGCCTCACCTGTCCCGGGGACAGTCTGCGGGATATCTAACAATCCGGGATAGCAGCGGGAAACGGCGCTGAAATAAGGGAATTTCCTGCAAAAAAAGGGAGGTTGACAGTTATGCCCATGCGTCACATAGAAAGGCCTCGAAACTTAGTCAAACAGGCATTTTTGCGCTGGTTTTCTTTTCTTTGTCCATTATTTATTTCAGGCTAGGCCCGGAAGGTGCTTCAGTAGGCAGCATCAAGAGGGCACACAAACCCTAGGGCTGACTCCATGGCTAGGGTCAGCTTGGCACTGACCTCCAGTAAACTCTACAAAGTAGGCCGGGCTTTGCCAGCCTGTCACCCTCCGGCCGGCTGGGGCTGATGGAAGTTGTAGTCCAAATGGGCCGGAGGTTGCCTGGTTGGCAAAGATGGTAGTAGACCCAGCCCCCAGAGAGGAGGGCTAGGCCAGGAGGAGTTGCACCGCCCCCAGAAGCAGCCTCTGCTAACTTCTTGCGGGATCTTGTGCCTAGATGCTGAAAGACATAAAGAAGGAGAAGGTTTTGCTGCGTCGGAAATCGGAGCTTCCCCAGGACGTCTACACCATAAAGGCCCTGGAAGCGCACAAGAGAGCGGAAGAATTCCTCACCTCGAGCCAGGAGGCGCTCTGACGGGCTAGGGAGCCCCTGGAGGGAACACAGAAATGCACTTTGTTCTAATGTATAACTAGGGAATGAACATGGTGAGCTGTGCCTGTCCTCCGCTCCATTCTCATTCTTTCAGGTTAGATTTGATTTTACATTGTACCTCATATCCCCCACGACACTGTCACTCCCTCCTGCTTTCGCCTCTTTACAAAGCTGTTTTTTGTGTGCACGTGTGAAAGGGAGCCTAGCCCCATCCACGAGGGGGTCATTCCACACAAGGGTCATCCCTGCTCCTCCTCCTGTTTCCCCCCCCCCCCCCAATCAATCTACTACAGTCCCAGGACCAAAGCATCGAGAATTCAGCCGCAAACTTCCAGCAGCCTTAGCCCAAGCTGGCGCCCTGCAGGTGTTGTGGACCACAAATCCCATCAGGTAGTCCAGAACATCTGGAAGGCACCAGATGGTCAAAGGCTGGTGCTACAGTAATAATTCACTACAGCCCCCTAGCAATTGTTTATACCCCCCCTTTTTTATCTACACCCACACAATGATATGGTCTGAAGAATGCAACATATTATGTGAAACTGGCAGAGCTGCTCGCTTCAGTCTGCTTCCTAGGGATCAAGGCAGGCTTGTTCCTTGGGGACCAAGCTAGATTTAGGAACATAGTTTTGCTCCCTCCCACCCCGGAATAAATGGCTAATTAGAGAGTACCGATTTGATTTGATCTGATCTATATGAATAAGGGCCGCTGGCTTTTTTGTTGGGTTCTGTGCAAGGATGTAATCATTGTGTGTGTGTGTGTGTGTCAGTGTCAGTGTAAGAAAGAGATCATGAATGCAAATGGAGTGCGAGTCAGGGAAATTTACAATTTGTTCTATTTGCACTCCCCCCCCCCCCCAATTGCAGCACAGTGGCAGCCTTACATAGTTCTAGGTCTGGTCTGTGCTTTTTGCTGCTCGATCATTTGGATTGTCCGTCCCAAATACAGACTAGTGATTGATCTACACATTTACCGCACAAGAGCCTCCCTTACGAACTGGTTGGCTTTTCTCTCTGCAGTTTCAGCTAGAACTGGAGCGAGATTTGACGCTTTCCAGCAGATTTTCCTACTTGCTCCAACCTCCCTTTCTCCACTGTTGGGTTTCTAAGCTTGGGAGAACACTGGACAAATTACTTCCTGACTAAATTCACAGCACACAAACAGCTTTGAAAGCATTTTTCATATTGGGAACAAGGGTGGGAGGGGACTTGACTGCACAAGCCAGGAAACACCTGTTGCTGTTCTCTTAATAGGGATCAGCACTTCGTTTGCTGGGGGGGGACAGGGACTAAGCCTCAGTGTGCTCAAGTTCATTTCAGCCGTTCTAGTTCCTTTGGCCTCATCTTGGAAAGTCTCGGAGCAAGAGATAGCAAAGGCCAGAGAGGATTACCCCATTTCCCGTAAACTATAGTTTTTTGCTTGTGAGCCACTGACTCAAATCTCCTGCTCAGTGCAAGCAATCCAGAGCTATAGTGTTCTAGAGGTGGCCATCCAATATCCCCTTGTGGAGTTCCTGTAAGTTACAGCCTTCCTTGCCTCTAGGTAATTGGCTCCATTGTCAAACTGCTCTTCCCTTCGAAATTTCCTATTAGTGAACCAAAATATATCCTCCTGTAATTTAAGGCCCTAAGAGCTACTCTTGCCCTCCCCTCTAGGGGCAGAAAATGACAAATGGTTGCCTTCTTTGTGATAGCTTTTCAGGTATTTCAAGCGCTAGCATGTCCGCCTTCAGTCTTCTCTTCTACAGCTGTAACATCCCCTGTTACTTTAACGTATCCCTATGAGACTTGTTTTCTAGAGTTGACCATGTTTGTTGGCCTCCGCTAAATCCAGTTGTCTATATCAGGGGTTCCATGGACCACCGGTGGTCCAGGAAATGTGTTTGAAGAACAGATACAATTTGAATTCCATAGAATTCTATACAATTCAAATTGTAGTACAGTATGAGAAATAAAAGAAGCAATAAAAATACAAGTAAAAACCATACAGCATCAAGCACAGCAGGTTACAACAGGCAGAGAAAAACCATTAAGTGGTCTCCCTCAAAGTTGGGGCACCCAGAACTGGACACATTACTCCAGATGTGGTCTGACTAGTGTAGAGTAAAATGGAACTATTACTTCTCATCTAGCCTATATTTAACCAGTTCACCAACAAAAATGTTAAAAAGACTTTGCCAAATGCTTAGCTGTAATAAATTACATCCAGAGCATTCCCACACTCCAAGCTAACGACCTGATCAAAAAAGTCTGAGATTCTTGACAAATCCATTATGACTTCAACTAATTGCTATCAAAATTGTATATATACATAATTTGTTCTAGTCTCATAGTCAGACTGACCAGTCTATGATTTCCTAGATATTTCTTTTTGCAAAGTGGAGCAACAGTTGCTTGTCTCCAGTCCTGTGATGCCTCACAACCATTCTCCAGGGTTTTTCCAATTAGTGCTTCTGCAAGTAAACTAGTGACTTCCTTTAGTACTCTACGATGTGATCTATATGCCCTGAAGCCTTGAACTCATTTGAGGTAGCTAGGTAGTTTCCTGACCAACTCCTTATTAAACTTGAATTAGCTTCATATGCTGCCATTGTTTACAGATTGCTGATTGAATTTCAGAATCATGCAAGGTCACAAAAGGGGAGGACCCTCATTCCTAATCAATTCCGCATCAACCTTCTGTTTTATGAATTCTGACTTGCGTTTCCCCACCTCAGATTCTAGGTTCCAGTCTTCTACAATTAATTTAAGGCTGTAAGTCCAAGTACACCCCATTGAAAGTAAGTAAATCCCATTGAAAGCAGTGAGGCAACTGTGGGGTGCAGGAGGTTCAGACTGCAAGCCTCTTTCTCCAGTCTACATCACACTTTAAATCTTCATACGCTGTATTGCATTATCTACACACCTACTTCACTTCTGTTGTGTTTCTCCCTATTTCTTCTGTACCTATATTAATTTTGTTCCAAGTTCCCTAAAGCCCAGTTTCATAACTCTGCCTGCATCTCACTGAAGGTACCCACTTTCCTATACTGGTAACTGATCTGCACCGTTGCTTTTCTGAATTTGCCAATTAGTTTGGAAAGGAAGGTGAGGCACAGGCTATTAGTACTCTGACATCCAGCCCATCAATCAATCAATCAATCAATCAATCAATCATAGCTCCTCTACTGTCTGCTGCCAAAATATATTCCATACCCATTGAAGATGCTCTGGCTGACGTGAACAGTTTCTCTGAACACTAAAGCCCTTCTTTGAGTGAGATCTGCTTAAACCTCTTGCCATGTGCCAACTGAAGCAGCAAGAGGGAAGCGGAAAACCATGACACAAAAGGGAAGGGGGAGTTTTGATTAAATATATTTGCCTGTCTTTTCAGTGGTAGAATTGAATAGGAACCAGAATGAACCGAGTAGCCACTGGGCTTCAGGTGTAGCTTCTGGAGGGACAATATTGACTTGGAACTCTTCTAAAGCAAAGTACAATTCAGTCAATTTGTGCCCCCCACCCCCACCCAAGGCTGGGCTCTGCAGACGAGAACTATAGGGCACATCCCCCCACCTAGCCCCATACACAACACAGCCCTTCTCTGCCTGCTGGATTTTTGCAATGGTGGAGCAGGGCTGCAATTGAGCATCATGTGCTGTATGACTTAGATGTAAATATAGCCTCTGTCTAATCTTTGTTTGGGGTCAGGAACTTGTGTTTGGTACCTAACATTAAAGTTTAGTTTGCTGCCAATTCATTCCAGTGTCCTATGTATCTTCACGGGGATGGGAGAAGCTGTGTGAGAAAGGGGGTGAAAGAACGAACGCCTCCAGCCAAAATGAGCACCTCAAGCACACGGCTTCAGGTCACTATTCACTTTAATCCAGCTCTACTTTTAAAAAAACATTCCCTTGTGTTTCTCCCACTTTGCTTGTATACTTTCCCTACTTTTTACATGGACAGGGTTGGAGCTGCCTCTTTCACTTCTTACATAGCCCCTTCTCAAAGGGAGGGGGGGCGCAAGCAAAACTTAAGTGATGCATTCACTCTCTGGACACAAGTATTAAGCCGCTTTACAGTTCATTATGTACATATGGTGTACTTTATTTTCAGTAGAGTATTACATAGTATGACAGTGTTGGATTTTGTACAGATGTCCCTGTATGTACAGAACTAAATAAAATGGATCTCTTGAAAAGATGACACGCTGGACTCCACCTCATGGCCATGTTTAGCTCTTTAGCCCATGTGTCACTTGGAAAAGGGGGGCGGGGGGCTGGTGGGGGAGAGAGTAAACAGCAGGGATAGAATCATGCATGTCGAAGGGCGATTTCATGAGATGGTTATTTCTCCTAGAGGCTTCTCCCTCCCCAAGCTTAGGAAAACAGCCTGATATCACTAGCACCACCACTCAAGTAACTATGACTGGGCGTTACAAAAACAAAAAAAACCCTTATGAATTAGGCCATATTTTCAATGCGACAAGGTGAACACAGAGTTTCAATGCTGGTGAAAGATAAATATCTAACCCAACCAGTTCAGAGACAATGGTTTAAAGTGCAGCACTTCTGTGTAGCTCTTTCGGCTAGAGGCAAGGATGCAGAAGAGCCGGCCTTCACTTCCATTCTGGCTTGGGGCTGCTCTGGCGGGCTTGCAGGGTTCGCTGCACCATATCCTGCCACTGGTCATCCGAGATTTCATTGGCCCACGCAGGGATTCCAAGCGTGGGGAGCTTGATTCCGGCCATAGTCCTTTTCACCAGCTCCACGTGTTCTAGAGTCAAAGACAGCCGAGGGATGAGAGGGGCAGCACAAAAGGAAACCAGCCGCCAACACCACACCCCCAAGACTCAACACAATTCCTTTCCAAGGATTTCCATATTCATGCAGTACTCAGTCTGTGAATAGATAAAGGGCAGCTCATCCAGGTTGCAACCAACCCAGGATGAAGGCTCAGGTTTACTTGGGGGAGGGGGAGTGAGGGATGCATTTATGGGCCCATGGTAAGCTTGAACTAGGGACTGGATAGCCAAAAACGATTGCTGCCCCACAAATCTCGTGAACAAGAGAGACCACCATAGCAATTGGCCAACCCACAAACAGAGTTACCAGGCAAAACTGTGCAGCCAATAAGACACTCGTACTTAGCTGTCAACTTTTCCCTTTTCTTGCGAGGAATCCTATTCGGAATAAGGGAATTTCCCTTTAAAAAAGGGAAGCGTTGACAGCTATGCACTAGTATCAGACAAGTGCTAAAACTGAATGGCAAGAATGGAGAGAGAAATGCCATGAAAGCTAGAGGACACTGTGTGTTTGGACTTGAGCAAGGAGAAGCCAAATTTAGACCCAATAGCCTTGTAAAGTAGACTAGGTTGAGAGGGTAGTTATGTGTGGCCTTTATATAGCACTTAATCATAAAAAGGGGTCATGAACACAGGTGAAATAACCCCTCTGCTACCTGGCACTTTATGTCGGCTACATGATGCTATTGTTAGGTGGATTTGTAGCTGGTTGGCTGACCAAGGCCAGAGGGTGCTCACCAATGGTTCCTTGTCATCCTGGAAAAAAGGGGTAAGCGGTGTGCTGCAAGGTTATGTCCAGGGCCTGGTGTTGTTCAACATCTTTATAAATGACTTTGATGAAGGAATAGAGGAGAAGCTCATCAAAGCTATACATGACACCAAACTGAGAAGAGCATGTAATGCCTCAGAAGACAGAATCGGGATTCAAGAGGATCTTAACTGATTGGAGAACAGGACCAAAAATCATGAAAAACAGTTCAGTAGGAACTAGCAAAATGAATTTCAGTGTAGATGTATGTAAGGTTCTACACTTAGGAATAATCAGATGTGCAAAGACAGGATCAGCGGCACCTGGCTTGACACAGCAGTGCATGTGAAAAGGATCTAGGGGTCCTAGTAGATCACAAGCTTACTGTGAGTCAACAGTGTGATGCAGCAGCAAAAAAAGAGCTAACACTATTCTAGGCTGCATCAACAGAAGTACATGTATAGTGTCCAGATCAAGGGAAGTAACAGGACCACTCTATTCTGCCTTGGTCAGATCCCACTTGGGAGTAATGTGTCCAGTTCTGGGCACCAGAGTTTAAGAAGGAGTTAAGGGTTGGGTATGCTTAATCTGGAAAAGCGAAGACTGAGAGGTGATACGGTAGCCATCTTCAGATATCTGAAGGGCTGTCACACATGGAGGAGGGAGCATGCTTGTTTTCTGCTGTTCTAGAAGGTAGGACCTGAGCCAATGGATTCAAGGTACAAGAAAGGAGATTCCAACTATACAGAAATAACTTCAAGACTGTAAGAGCTGTTCAACAGTGGAACCAACTTCCTTGGCAGGTGGTGGACTCTTTCAATGGAAGTTTTTAAGCGGAGGTCAGATGGCCATCTGTCAGGGATTCTTTATTTGTGATTCCTGCATTGCAGGGGGTTAGATTAGAAGACCTTTCCAACTCTACAATTCTATGTAGGAATGGCAGGATAGAAATGTGATTTAGAAGTTATGGAACAGGTTAGGGACCTAGAGAATATAACAAACTAGATAATCGCAAGCTTTAAAAAAGGCAGAATGGAAAAAACAATGTGGCAGGACTTACAGACACCCTAGTTCTAAGGCTGGCAATTCTCTTGGGAGACTCTAAAGACTAAAATAAACAAAGCTGCTTCAATATTATGTTACCTGGATCCATAGGGATAGAGCTGCGAGAGTTTTGAGCTGCAGATCCCTCCTCCTCATCGCTGTCCACAGGTGGGTCAGGCAGATGCAGTCTCATTGCCTGCATGCAGTGCATAAAGCCATTACAAGCATTAAGCACAGCACAAAGGCATGCGCATGCAAGAATCTGTGGCCCCACCTTGAGGAACCCCAGGACGCATACTTGAAACAAAACTGTGCTACCTGAAGTCGCTCATTGATATCAGGCTCTGGCTCTGTGCTGGGTTCTGTTTCTTCAGCTGCTGCTAGTCCCTGATCTGGATCTTGATTCAGTGGCTGGTACAAGTAGCCATTACTACCATCTTCCTCCTCCTCTTCAGGTTCTTCACTACTCCACTCCCCAGCAGGTTCAGGGGTTCCATCAGGTGTCTCTTGCAGCCCCAGCTCTTCGTGCTCATTTGGACAGATCCTCTCTGGACCCATTATCTGTGTAACCACTGGCTCCAAGGCCATGCACTAAGGATCTGAAGGGAAAACATGGAACTTAAATCTCCGCAACAATACTATTGTTTAAAGTTGTATGAAATGACTGAGAAAGAAGCATATCCTACAAAGAGATTGCAGGAAGGTAAGAGCAATAAGCACTTGCAAGGCAGAACAGACCTACCTAAGAAAGTCCATTATAGTCAACTTTAGAGCCATCATCACATTTCACATTACATACTATACACTAAAGCAGGCACAGGCAAACTTGGCTCTCCAGATGTTTTTGGCCTTCAACTCCCTAGCTAGCAGGACCGGTGGTCAGGGGTGATGGGACTTGTAGCGCAAAACATCTGGATGGCCGAGTTTGCCTATGCCTGCACTAAAGCATTATGCCACAGAATCATAGAGTTGGAACCCTGAGGATCATCTAGTCCAACCCCATTGCAATGCAGGAATATGCAGCTGTCCCATATGTAGCTTGAACCTGCAACCTTGGTGTTATCAGCACCACGCTCTAACCAGCTGAGCTATGTAATGTGATGGGTTTCAGGTTGCCTTTCTGGGAACCCCCGGATTCTACGGAAACTTATCAGTAGCTTCCCAGAAATACAACTTTATCATCACTGCTTTAGTTTTTCCTGCAATACACAGGAAAGTGTTGAGTGTTTTTATGTGGCTCAATTCTAGTTTGTCCAGTTACAGCAAAGCTCAATAGCCATGGCCAGTGTCAAACCTGCATATGTCACTGTTTCCCTAAGCCAGAGATGGAAAACCTGCAGCCCTCCAGATGTTGGCACTCCCACTCATATCAGCCCCAGCCAGCATGACCAATGGTCAGAGATTATGGAAGCTGGTAGTTCAACAACACTTGGGAGGGCTGTGGATTTCCCATCCTTCCCCTAAACAAGGAAACTTCTTCAGCGTTAATTAGCTCCAAGTCCTATATCCCATTTGCCTCTCACCCACATCAGTTGAGGGCCCAGTTTCATAACCCATTAACCAGAGGTAGCTATTCATCTCAGTATCTCATATTGCCTTCTATGGGACAAATTAATAAGCTGTAATGTGGGTTAGGAAACAAAGAGTTAGGTTTAGGCCCGCTCCATTATCTTCTATATAACCCAGTGACTGCTACTCCCATGGAAGACTTTAAGAAAGCACTTTAAAACAATGCAGTTTAGACCAAACTCACCTAGAACCCCTAACAGCGACTCAGTTCTCCAAAGTATTTCTAAAATAATAATACAATAACTTACAATTACTGTATAGAACAAGTGTTCTATTACGTCAAGCTTAGACGCATGCAATATAAAAGCATGGTGATTATTCACTGAATCGGCAACAATCCTGGCTCCCCCTTTCCTTTGAGGTGGAGTCATGGCTCTGACTCGCACCTCCGTAAAGTTACTTGCCTTCAAGATGCCTTTTCGCTTTTGCTGCTACAGAGTAACATGGCTACCCCTCTGGAAAATAAACAAACTAGCCTTAAGGCAGCCTAGGTTCAGGCTCCCCCCTACCCACCCCACCGGAAGGATGGACAAAAACGTGTCTTTCCGGGTTTCAGAAGGGTTTCCATATGTGCCCGTCGTTATGGACCCTTCAAAACGCCCTATAAATGCTGAGCCCTGCTGTCCTCGCCCCCACCACAAAGACCTCCATTTCCAACACCGCCTGCTCTCGCCGTTTCGCCTATTGCCCTCCATCGCTGCCTGACGCCCAGCAAACCACAGCCGCGCCCGCCA